GTTTAAGTCCAAATATAAGGCCATGTTTAAGAATTAGTCAAAGACAGTCTAAGGCAAAGCTTAAGGCCAAGTAATGACTTATGTTCAGGCTAAGTCTAAGGCTAGGCTAAGGCTAAGTTTAAAGCAAAGTTTAAGGGCAAGTCCAAGACCATGTTAAGACTAAGTTTAATCCCAAGTCGAAGGCCAAATTTGCGTAGAAGTCTGAAGCTCAATCTAAGGTCAAGACTGCGGCTGCGTCTAAGGCCAAGTTATAGCCAAGTTGAAGTTAATTCTTAGGCCACGTCTCATTTTTATTCTCAAAGGCAAAGTCTGTTACCAAGTCTAAGGTCAAATTATGGCACAGTCTAAGGCTTTTTTAGGAGAAGTTTAAGTACAACTTCAAGGCATTTCTTTAAGGCAAAATCTAAGACTAAGCTAATACCAAGGTTAAGGCGACGTCTAAGGTAATGTCTAATTCCTAGTCTATTTGGAATTCTAAGGCCAAGTTTAATTCAACGTTCAAGACTAATTCTCTGACCAACTCTAAGGTTCAGTCTATAGCAAAGATTAAAGCCAAGCCCGAGGCAGAGTCTAAGAGAAGGTCAAGGGATAAACTGAATCCACTTTAAGGCTATGCCTAAGGTCACTTCTATGGGCTAGGCTTGGACTATCCCAAAGCCAAGACAAAGGAAAACGTTAAATTCAAGTTCAAGCCTAATTCAAAAACAAGTCTAGGCAAAGTTTAAGGTAAAGTCTAGGGCCAAGTTGAGGTCACGCCCAGCACGATATCTAAGGCCTAATCAATGGCCATGTCGAAAAACAAGTTAAGCGAACGGTTAAGCCGAAGTCCAAATTAAGGCTGCATCTAAATCCTAGGTTGAGTCCACGTTTAGGTCCAGGTCTTGGGCCAAGTCAAGGCCAGGTGTAATACCATGACTAAATTCTTGTGTAGCTCTTCGACTAAGGACACTTGCAAGGCCAGATGGAAGTTACGTTAAGCCCAACTTAAAAGCAAGTGCAGGGGCATGACTGAAACCAAGTTTCAAGTCATGTTTATAGCTTTATCTGAGATCTGTTCTAAGGTCAAGTCTTGGGTCAAGTTTAAGGCCTATTTTAATGCCAAGCTTTAGGTTAAGTTAGAGCAAGGTGTAGGGCCAAATGCAAGGTAAATTCTAAGGTTGCGTCTAAGGCCATGAGTAAGTCAATGCAAGAGCAAGCCTAAGACCAAGACTACTGTCAAGTGTAAGGGCAAGTCTAACTCCGAGTCTTAAGCCAGACTTACGTTAAAGTGTAAGGGCAAGTTAAAGGTCATGCATAGAGCCAATGTAAAGGCATATTTAAGGCAGTGACTAAGGTCTAGACTATGGCTAAGTCAAAAACCAAATCTTAGGCCTAAATATAGCCACGTTTAAGGCCAATTCGAAGGCGAAATGTAGAGCCGAGTAAGGGCGAAGTTTAGAGCAAGGTCCATGGCCAAGGCAGAGCCAAGTTTAGGGTAAGGTCTAAGAATATGTTTAAGACAAAGCTTAAGTTCAAAGCCAAAAACAAATTAAGGTCAGGCTAAAGCCATGTCTAGGATCAAGTTTAAGGCAATGTTTAAAACCATATCTAAAGCCAAGTTAAGTCCAAGTTTAAGGCGAAATCGAACGACATGTCTAAGGCCAAATTTAAGAAAGTCAAATTCCACGTTTAATGTCAAGCTTAAAGCCATATCTATGATCCTGTCTAATAAGACGATAAGGCCAATTTTAACGCTCGGTTTAGAGCCACGTCTAAAGGCAAGCCGATTCCAATTGATACCAAGTTTAAGGTCATGTTTAGAGACATTTTCTGGGCGTGGTCTAAGGATATGTCTAAGGCTAAGGTTAAGGCATGTCAGGTAAAATGGATTGCTCACCTAACCGATAAACTTAACTGTGTTCCCCATACCGCAAACCTATACTCCGTTGTCCTACAACCATTTGAGATGATCCAATAATCAAATTTCTCGGTCAACTGTTAAACAGTGAGCGGAGAATAAAGATTTCTTGAGGGGTTGTGCTCATGCTGCACCCGTAATGAAAATACGTCAGATAAGGGATGGCTTCGACTTAAAAGTAATTTGGCGTGGCAGTGCACATTAGCGATGTCACTGTATTGTTCGTTGGCTGTCAGATATTTTTTTTCTTGCACTTTCATCATCATTGAAGCAGCTCGTAGCATTGCCATCACAGTGCCAGAAACTGGTTATTCTTATGATTCTGTCTCTCTGCTTCTAGATGTGTAGATGCGTATTTAAAATATGGCTGCAAACAAACTATAGGTTATGACTCAAGCAACATACATGTTTGCGTAGCAGGGTGTATGATCAAATTTGACTCTTTCTCGCGCTGGTGCAGAATATGTTCTTGTGGCACCACTGATAATGCTTGCTTATCTAAATTATTTTATCTGTCAGGCTTAAATTTATGCCAGCCTTGAACTGTTCGTATATCGCGGTATTGAATGATGATGGGTTTCTTTCTATTCTATTCTGATCACTTCTATTAATTTGCTGGTGACGAGAAACATAGCCTTGCCAGATGTCATTTCAAAAGGTCATACCTTGTAAATTTGGGCTACTTCTCTCTGTAAACTCTTTCCGCTTTTGAGAACAATGACACAATGACAAGAGTTTTCAATTTGGTTGTGAAAATGTTGTAGGCTAATAATTTTCTGCCAGTATTTAGACTATTTTATGTCCATAATTCCAAAAGCAATACTCATTGGAGTCATGATATTTGGCCAAATCGCCGCTTAGAAGAACCGCTTTTGTACATCAAAGTTCAGCAACCAGAATCTCGGCGATTGAGCAACAAATTTTTCTGTTTTGACGGATATTTTAGTCATTAATCAACTCTGCAAGCAAAAACATTATGTTCCATGGTAACGTCTGTTGTATGGCGCATTGGAGCTATTATGATTAATTCCATGAATACTTCTTGTTATCCGACATTTTATCCAGCCGTTCTGTTGTTTTAATTACTCTCACTCTTGGCGCTAATGATAGAAATTTAGTTTTGATGTAATTTTTCATAATCTGTACGACATCTACTATCTTTCAGATATGTACGACAAAATGGCAACGATTGTCCGAAGCACATGCGGCGAAACGTAAGAGTTCCCTGTACGGGTGGAAGTCCACCAAAGATCCGTACTAAGCCCATTTCTGTTCTCGATAGAGACAGACGCAATACCTGAGTATTGGAACCAGCTCCATACTGTATTCTATATGCATATGATATTGTACTATGCAACGAAAGCAGAGAAGCTGTAGAATCAAAAACCGAGGCATGGAGAAGAGCTCTTGAGAAGAACGGTCTTCGACTAAGCAAAGGCAAGTCAGAATATATGGCGGGCTATTTCAATGGGAAAAACAGGTTGAAATCTGTTAAATTAGTGAAAGTAGCGGGAGCTTGCTGCCTCAAACCC